ATTCACATTCTGTTGTAAGAAGTAATACAGAGAGATCATATGCATCCTTTATCCATTTACCACCAATGGTAGCATCCTGCAAAACTATAGGAGAATATCACAACCAGGATACTGACATTGATGCAATCATATTCAGATTTCCATTTTACTTGTACTCGAGTGTGTGTGTGTGTATTTAGTTTCATGCAATTTTATCATATGCGTAGGTCTATTGGCCTTTAAAAAATTTTTTTCCCTCTTGATTTTTAGTCATTCAGTTTTGTTTCCAGATATGTCTGATGATGCCAAACCATTACATCAAAAATGTAATGTGAGTTTGGATGATGTTATCCTTCCTCCAGAGAGAATTTACTTTTGCTTTTGGCAAGACGTTGGTGAAAGAGCAGACACCTTAATTCAATCAGTGAATGAGAGGATTGGAAGCTGGGATTCCATCTTTGGAGGACTGGAATATTTCCAATTTACCCTTCTCTCAGAGTGTAACCTTTTAGGGTCTCACTGAGAGTCTGGGTCATTTACCTAGAGCCCCTTATCTTGAATTCCAATTTTTAGCTGGAATCTTTACCTTTATTTGTCATACAATTTCTTGAACCTATTAACCAGCTGCTCAACTATTGCTCTCTGCTCAACTTAGGCATTTGTTGTAAGTGGGCAGGTGCCTCAAGAGGAAAACTGTAGCCCCCAAAGTCAGGCTCACTTCTCTGAGCTTCTGTTCTCCATAGGATCTGGTTAACTTATCTCTCATCTCTCTTGATGCTTCTCTGATGCCTGAAAGTTTCAGATGTGGCGTTTGGTTTTTCTAGCTTTTCACAGGGGAAGAATTAATCTGCAACAGAAATCTCCTACATCAGCCTTTGTTTCTCAAACCAGTGTTTGATATCCCTGAGGAGCTAAGGAGAATCCAAAATCACAGATCATATAGTGCAGCCATTGAGTGATTATTCTGGAGGCAGGAGGGATTAATATCTCAGTGTTGCCACTTCCCAGGTGGATGACCTTGGACAAGCACTTCATCTTTCTGTGCCTATTTTCCAGCAGTACTTCCTTCCCAGGGTTAAATAAACTAGTATGTGTCAAGAGATCAGAGCAGCAAATGTCTGGTGCATAGTAAGCACTTAATACAGATCAGTTATTAGTATTCAGCGAATACATAGTAATCCCTACTCTGCCAGATGCTGGATACACGCTGTGGTGGGAAAGACAAATACAGTCCCTTCTCTCACGGGGCTGACACTCTGGGTGATCCACAATTGAAAGTAAGTAAACAAGATCATTATCAAAAAGAGTATGTGCTGTGGAAAGGGTTAAAGAGGATGATAGAGCAGGTGACCCCGACAGCCTTGGGTCCAGGATGAGTTGGTAGGGCTCAGTTGCCAATTCTGGGGTCATGGAGGAGAGGACTGAGCAAGTGGTGGAGAGTGACCAGGCAGCGACTTAAGGCTGAGGGGTCAGCAAAACATCTGCGATTGTTCATGACAAGCTGAGACCTGAATGACAGGAAGGAGCATGTCCCCTGAGAACTAGGGGATGGTGCCTTCCAGCTGAGGGAACATATGCAGTCTCCCCAGATCTGGCAGGCTGGGGGAACAGAGGGAGGCCTGTGCGTCCCAGAGCATAATGGGAGAAAGGGAGAGAGGTAATGCATGAGACCCGAGAGGTGGGAGGGGGTCAGATCACACAGGGCTTTGTAAATCAGGGTGAGGGTATGGATTTCATTCTAAGTGTATTGGCACGCTTCGGAGAGTTCTGTGAAGGGGAAGACATATTTTGATTGCAACACGATCACTCTGGGTATTGTATAGAGAATGGATTTTGAGAGAGGCTGTTGCAGGAGTATAATTCAGAGACGATGGTGGTTTGGACAGAGCAGTAGCAGAAGTGGAGAAGAGTGAGCAGGCTGGAGATCCGCGTTAGTGGTGGAGTCAGAAGACAGATAATGCAAGAGAAAGAGGGAAATCAATGATAATTCTTGCATTTCTGATTTGAACAACTGGTGGATCATGAGCCTGTTTATTAAATGGAAGGGTGGGGCAGAAGTTGAGGGGGATCAGTAGTTTTGGATATATTAGTACTGAGACTCCTATCAGGCAAATAGTCATGGTTTGAAAATCATCAGATGATAGCTAAAGCCATGAGCCTGGATGAGATTTCCTAGGGAGAGTGTCTAAATACAAAGAATAAAGAGAAGCAGGGCTGTGGCCTGGGGTCCTGCAGATTTAGAGGTTGGGGAGATAAGGAGGAATTGGAAGGAGCCTGAGAAGGAGCAGCCAGTGAAGTCAAGCAGTGGTTCTCAAAGTATGGTCCCAGGGACCAGTGGCCACAGCCATCACCTAGCACTTGTTAGAAACGCTGAATGTCAGGCCACACTCCAGCCCTGCTGTCTCAGACGCCAGGGGTGAGGCCCAGACATCAGTGCTTTGATTGTGCTACAGGCCAAACCATTGAAACGGAAGGAAAACTGGGGAAGCTGTGTTTTGAAAGGCAAGAGAAGGAAATCTTAAGAGAAGGAAGGAGTGGTTAACTAGGTGTCAGTGCAGCTGGGAGCTCAACTCAGATGAGTACTGGGGCCTGGCCATGAAGTTTCATAATGAATGTGGAGGTCACTCTTGGCCTTGACGAGAGTGATCTCGGCAAGCCGTGGGCACTGTGGCAGAGTGGGAACTGGAGAAGATGTGAATGAGAGAGGGAGGGTGTGGCAAAGACTATGGACCCCTTGTGCAGTAAAGGGTTAACTCAGCCGGCTTAGGGTGCTCAAACCCTGCCCATTCCAAAGAAAGGACTGGGCCTTAACCGGTGGTTGGTAGATAACTTCTGAGCCCTTCAAATATCCTGCCTGATAAGGGTGTCTTTGTATACCTTTGGCCATATCAGAGAATTTATGTTAACAAAGTGACTTATGGAAAACACCTGCTTTTTTTTTTTTGCCTGAGGCCCTGGGTCACCCTGTGTCAGTTTGACCTCTGGGTGTCGGGGCTGGAGACTGAGTAGTTAAGGCCCACACAGGTGCTTCATGCCTACGTGACTGACCCTGTGACAAGCCCAGGACACCAAGGCTCAGGTACGCTTCCCTGGATGATGATTTTCTGCACAGGTGTCACACATCCCTGCTGGGAGAATGAAGCATTGTCCATGACTCCCCCCACCCCAGAAGGGACACCTGGAAGCTCGTTCCTGGTCTCTCCTGGACTCTGCCCTATGTGCCTTTTTCCTCTGTGTCTGTTCGCCGTAACAAACCGTGACCATGAGAAGAACTTTTTGGAGTCCTGTGAGTCCTTCCAGTGACTCATCAAACCTGAGGGTGGTCTTGGGGACCCTGCCACACCTGCTTTTTCAAGAAGTCTTGCAGTGATAGGAGCAGAGAAAGAGTGAGGCCTTGAGGCGTGTATTGGCTTGGGGTGGGGGGATTTGGTGTGAGGAGATACAAGGGCATCATCACAAGCCTGTTGGAATGATAAAGTTGACAAGGAGAAGCTGGTGACTCGGGAGAGATGTTCTTGGGGAGGTGGGGGGATGGGGTCCAGTACACAAGGTCCTCTGGTAGGAGCAGGGACGGTTTGCGCTGAGTGGCTGGAGGGCAGCTGGAGAATGTGCAGGTTTGTAGACAAACTTGGTGAGGCGATGATCGTTTTGTTTCCTCAATGGACTATGGGGTAAGGTCACCCTTGAGGGTGTGGGAAGGGGGGTGGAGAGGCTCTAGGAGGTCTGAGGAGGGAGAGGGTCTGATTTTTAGCTATTTGGAGAGCAAGCCCTCATACAAGGCAAGTGCTAAGATTGTAGGGCAGGCAGAAATGCCCCTTGGAGATCTCTGGCCATGAATTTGAAATGAGAGTCAACACACATCAGAGCCCTGTGCTCTTCTGCATCAGGGTTCAGCTGGGCAGGTGCTGACATGAAGCGGGTGGATGATAGGGATTAAACCAGGGTTGGACATTGCCAGCTGATGGGACAGAGGGAGAGGGTGTTTGTAAGTAAATCAGTGTGAGAGAGGATAAACGAAGTGTATTGTCTGCAGCTTAATTTTGCTCCGTGGTAAGTAATCAAAGGCAATATTTTAAAACAAATCTGGGTTCATTTTGGAGAAGGAAGAAAGCACACAAAGTTTTCGGATAGCTCAGTAGACTTCAGATATGGTTTTCTTGTTTCAAGTGCTGCTTCCAGCTAGCTATACCCCCTGATCTTCATGGGGTGAGTTCACTTAGGTGGGAAGTTTGGGAAGCTTTGGAAAATTCTGGAAGGCCTGTCCTACAGGTGTGACCCCCTGACCCGCGGGCCCCCTGGCTTTTTCATAGGGGCTGTCTGTGAAAGTTGGACACGGTCCAACTACGAGCAGTAACAGTATTGATGGGATGGCAGAGGATGTGCCCCTAAGATGGTGTGGACAGGGAGGACTGGGGACCAGATCAAGACCTCCCGGGGGTAGGGCAGGTGCTGCAGGGGTGGGTGGGGTTAGCAGATCCTGACACTGTTAAAGAGTCCAGCCTAGAGGCCAAACAAGTCAGAGGGGTCCAGGTAGACTGTGGACCAGGGACAGGTTGAAATACAACAGTGTCCCTCCCTCTCTCCTACCCCATCGCCTCTAGGGCCCAAGGGAGGCGACACTCTGGGGGTCCAGGCAAGTGACTCAGGCAGACTGGGTCTCAGGGAACAAGTCAAGGACCTGGTTCCCAGAACTGGGGCATGAGGTAGGGATGGGGTGTTGGGAATGAGGCCAAAACCCAGTTATCAGAACTGGGACACTTTCCATGTGGGACTTGTGTTCTTTACATCCTTCCTGCATAAATCCTGGGGAATGGGGTATGTCTGCGCCTGGGAGCTGGCAGAACAATCAGCTGAGAGGCCAAAGTGGTGAGGCTACGGGGCACCAAGCAGCGCCTCCTGTCTTTTTCTGCTGCCCTGCCCTAGGTAGCCGTCCCCTTCCTGCCCCGCACCCCCCAGGCTAACTTCACCCTTGCAAGAAGAGCCTCAGAGTAAACATTGTTTATTTTGAACATTCAAATTTAAAAAAACAAAAAAGTAACAAAACCCAGGACATATCTCATACACATACACACACACGTTGCATCTCATGTCACTTTATATACAAAATTAGGCGGGGCGGGGGGGGCGGGTGCAATAATTTCACAGTGTCAGACAGCTGGACATGCTCACTCACTGCTCAGCCTGGGCCCACGAGAGCCCCTTCCCCACCCAGCAGGGGTGAGGTGGGGTTTGGGGTGGCAGGCAGCTGGGACAGAGGGGAAGAGAATGATCGCATCTTTGGGAGGGGACCCTTTCTCCAGTCTGCTCCGGGCAAGGTGCTGGGAAATGGAGAGGAACCAGGGACCCAGTTCTTGGTGGCGGGTAGGGACCACTGCATTGTGGAGAGTCAGAAAGCTGAGATCAGGTCTCCAGGTGTCCTGGCTGGGTGGCCCCAAGGGCCACTCACCCTCCTGGGGCCCCGGCATCCTCATCTATAAAATGAGACTTCAGGAGGGCCTCCTGAAGAAATCTTCCTGCCCAAAGCTGTGGTCCTAGGTCATGCACGATTGTGGCAAGGTGATCTGTCCCCTTGGGATGTTGACTGGGGGTACAGAATGCCACAAAGGGGGGCAAAATCTGGCAGATAAGAGCTGTGAAGCACCTGGAGCAGGGCTTGACCCAAAGCAGAAGTTTGAGAAATATCCTCTCCCCCATTCCCTGCCTGGGACTCTTGGGGGACCGTCCAGCTTCCTCTTACCTTTGAGTTCTGGAAACGAGAGCCAGTTGAAGGGCTGAGGTGGCGGTCACACTGCAGAGACCCCTCCCACGGCCTCACCCAAGGGGACCCTGGCCCTGGGGCCAGCCCATCCCGGGCCTCTTCCTCCATCAGCAACCCTGTGAGGGTAGTGAATGGGGTCAAGCACATCTCTTTAGGGAAAAACCCATCGGGAGCAATGATGCTCAAGTCCCACTCCACAGAGAGTAGGGCTGCCAGTCCCTTTGGTCCTTGCTGTAACCTGCCTTGGTTTGAAGTCTGGACTCCAGCACCTGCCAACTGATGGACACTGGGCAGGTTACTTAACCTCTCTGTGCCCCAGTTCCCTCCCTGGGGCTAAGAACAGTCCCAGCTTACGACTGTGTTGTGAGGATAAATGAGATGTGAGGTGCTCAGCACAGTGCCTGACATTTAAAAAAGATGGAACAAACAGGCTCCATCATCACCGTTAGCCAGAGCAGCTCAGGGACACAAGCAAGCGCCATTTCCAGCTCCTCTTTCCCTGTCTTCTTGGCTGTGCCCAGGAGCAGCTAGACGACCAGAGCTGGCGTCCAAACAGCAGGCATTCGGCAAAGGTGAAGAACCATCAGTGGACGAAGGAGGGGTGGGGACTTTCGGGCTTTCACCTTCCTGGAATGGAAATGGGCACCCAGGCCACTCACCAATGGCCCAGACTCACAGCCTGCACCTCAATGCCTCTAATTTGTTCCTGTGCCCTCTGGAGGGCTGACCAGGGTGACTCAGCATGGGACCAAGGTCAGATGTCTCATCTTTGTCACCATGACAAAGCATAAAGGACTTGGGATGATGCCTCTGGGTAGGCTCAAGTTCTGTCAGTTCCCTCCTAGACCCTTTCTTTCCCCAAGGCCTCCACAAAAGCTGCTTCCTTAAAACCAGTAACGGAAACCCAATAAAGCCCAGTGTCCCGGGAATCTGGGTCCTGAATCTGCTGTCACCCCAGCAACAGCATATGTCACTAAGAGACGCTTGACCCAGCACTTAGGCTGATGTCATTGGCTGTTACCAGGGCAACCTTGGTCTCAGCAGGTTCTGGCTGAAGCATGCCATCGCTTCTTCTTCTAGGGGGAGTTGGGCCCGTGGTGCTGAACGGTCTATTTGTGCTCTTGAACTGGCAACAAGGGAGGGAACTGGGGGCTGGAGGCAACAAGTCTTGGAGAAGCCTCCATGGCAATAGGCCCCACAGCCTGCAGCTCTTGCATCTTGCCTCAGGTTAAGTGGTGGTGGGGAGCAGAGACAGGGAACAGAAAGCAGGCCAAAAGGCACGGGTACCTGCTCGAGTCAGGTAGCCTGCAGCTGCCCAGACACCTGGTAGGTGACTGGCAGAGGGAATACCTGCCTTCCATTCCTGCCAGAGTGCCTGGGGATCACCCCTCTCCTCCCCCTACTTCCTGTGGTGGGGGGGGGTCTCGATGCCAAGATGTTTGTGTGTTTCATAAAGGAAGATGTTCATGTTGGAAAGCATTCTGACCTCTTTAAAATGTCTGTCCTCTAAGGTGAGGGCTGGACTCAAAGACACTCATGGGCAGGCAGTATGGTGTAGGGGGGAAGAGAACTGAAGAGGGTGTCAGAAGCCCTGGGTTCTAGTCTTGGTTCTGCCACATTGTGCTGTGTGGTCCTGTGTAAGTCACTTGACCTCTCGGAGCTCTTCCCCATCTACACAAGCAAGAAGTCAGACTGGGTATTTTCATTCTTTTACATTATAGCTTTTACATTCTTCCACTATCTTGGGGGAGCTGGTGAGGACTCAGGGTGGGGAGCTGGAAGCCTTCAGCCCTCTCAGATGGGCAAGGGTGCCAGGCTGGGGTGGGGGTGATCCAGAAAAGCTGGTTTTTACAATCTGTGCATGAGGTTGGTCTGCCTTGCCCCTTGCCCTTGCCCCTGACTCTCTGGAGGCAGCTGCTGACCCTGACCCATGCCCGGCCAGATGCCATCTGCTGCCTACTCTCAGGATCTGCCCCTGGTTCCTAGGCAGCGTCAGGAGAAATGACCAAAGCAAGGGCCTCAGCTCACAAATGAGGAAGGCCAAGCCAGAGAAGGCAGGGACTTACAGAAGGCCACACAGCAGGTGAGCAGCCGGGCTGGCTAGGAACCATGGGCTCCTTCTCATCCAGTGCTCTGTACACCACTCTATGCTTCTCCCCTCTTTGCCCACTCGGTTTCTCCCTTCTTTCCCCAGAGGCTTCGGGGCCATGCAGAGGGATTAGGTAATGTGGCTATGCCATAACCTGGGTCCCCTGGGCACATGCCTCTCTCACAAGCTGCTCCCAGCCCAGGCTGAAGTGGCCCAGGCCCTGTCCTGGGCACGGAGGAGGAGAGGTGACCTGCCAGTTAGCACACATGTGGGTTCGCACAAGGGGTGACTATGGCCTTTTGGCCTCCCAGGGTCTTTGTCCCTCAGCTGGAGCTGGGAAGGAGATGTCTTGGGAATTGAGGTGGGGGTGGGCCAGGCATGGAACCAACATTCAAACCACTGCACACAAAGAAACGAGGAAAGAGGAGGAAGAGAGAGGGTGCAGGAGGCTCCATCAAGATCCCCTTGCCCTTCACTGGCAACGGGTGGAAAGATGGAGGAGGGGTGAGTCTGAGTCTCCTATGTCTCTGTCATCCGTTTCTCAGCTGGGGGGACAGCTCTAGAGCTTGTTGTGGCCCTGAAGGGGAAGGGGCCAGGCCTGGTGCATGGGGGACAGGGGGGCAGACAGCCACGTCTGCCACTGAGATAGTGGGCCCTTCCTCCATACATGACCCCCTGGGACATGCTGTTGAGATCAGTGGCATCAGACGTGGTGGATGGGCCAGGGTGGGTGGGGGTAAGAGACCGCTCCAGTGTGATGCCGAGAGGGTGGACAGTGCTGTGGGCACTGCTATCACCCCCCACCAGGCCCTGGACTCACCCCAGGCTTGACCTGTTGGCTTGAGCTGCTTGTCCCCATCCAAGTGGGGTTAGGGGACAGCCACTGCAGGGCAGGGCATTCTGGAGGTGTGGGTATAGGTGGGGGAAAGAGGAGGCATGGCCAGGAGCAGGGCAGGAGGGAAGGCCAGTGTGTGGGTAGGCTGAGGAGGGAACGTGTGCCCCCACCGTAAGGTCCCCAAAATGGCAGGCAAGGGAGGGACCCTGGATGAGGTGGCCCCTCATGCTTTGGCCCTCCCCTTGCAGACATCAAAGGTGGTCTTTTTTGCACCCCCGAAGGCCTCCACCAGCTTGTCTTCCCAGGGGAGGACGTTGCCCAGCTGTGGCCCGGTACAGTTGGCAATGCCCAGGACTTGGGCAGGTGTCAGGGCGTGGTCCCACAGGTTAAACTGGGCAATGTCACCCACGAAGGCCTGGGTGGCATCAAACCGACCGCCCAGGGTGTCCTGGGCCAAGAGAGCAGCAGAGAGAGGAGAGAGAGAGACATGGAGTGAGCCATCGGAAAAGACAGGCAGACAGACTCAATCAGGCCCCAGGTCCTGCTGAAGCCCCGCCCCTTAAAGTTCTAGCCCCGCCCCAAGCTTCCCCCTCTGTCCCCAAGTTTCCAGCCCCTTGGGCTGGTCACTGCTCATTCTGAGTCTCAGTTTGCCCATCTGCAGAATGGCTGGGTCAGACTGATCACTGCTGTGCTTCCAGGGTCCCTTTACCTAACCCCTCCCTCCCAGGGGCCCTGGGTGAGTGTGATACCTACTCAGGCTTCAAGCCCCCATACCACCCTGAGCCTTACCTGCTCTTGGCCCAGGATAAGGATCCCATGAGGCTTGATGGGGTGCCAGGCGGCCAGGTTCTCACCGGAGCCCTGTAGCTCCCCGTCCTGGTAGGCAGACCACAGGCCATCCCTTGTGGTCCAGGCGATGCAGATGTGGTGCCAGCCATTGTCCTTCAGGCTCAGAGGCAGCTGGGCCACCTGGACATAGGTCCCGCAACCCCAGGTCAGAGGTGCCACAAGTCCCAAGGCTGGACCAGTGCGGTGGGGCCCAGAAGACCTGTGTCCTTTCCAGGGACTGAGTCAAGGTTTACCCTCCCCTTCCTCTCAACCCCATGTCTTTCTGAGCACTTTTTCCTCTTTCCCCACAACTTCACCAGGCAGCTTCTCTCAGATCACAAGGGACTATTCAGAATTGGTTTTCGAGTGTTTCCAGGTTCCTTATTCACACCCTCACAGGCCTGTAAGGTCGTGTGGGGCGGGAGCCACATTTCACAGCCTTTGGACACCTCACACAGCGCCTGGCACATGGTTGGGCTCAAGGAGTACAAGCAGCCTTGGACTCAGAGGCTGGGCACTGGCGTCCAGCCCTGGCTCTGCCAACCAACCTCCTGTGGGACCTTGGGGAGGCTGCTCTTTCCTCCCTGGGCCTCAGTTCCTCATGCAAAGGATGCTAATGGTCAGGCAAAGGATGGCAAATATGTAGCCACCTCTGCCTCGTCTACCCAAGGCGGACATGGCTAATCAATCGTGAACCCAGGCTCAGCCCCGGGATCTTTCCTAAAACAGTGCTCTGGGAAGCCGCTGGTGATTGATTAGCGTTGGTCTGAGATGAAATGTACTTGCTGCCTGTGGATTTGGGACTCCCGAAGGGCTCATTCATCTCCAGAGTTCTGTGAGATCACACTTTAACACAACATTCTCTGAGGCCCACTTAGTGCCAGGCTTGTTCTGGACACTGGGGATGTGGATCTGGTCCTAGCTATAAATGAGCTGAGTCTGCAGGGGAGGGAAGAACTTCAGGGACAATATTATAAGGCAAAATAACAGGGGCCATTTGGGAGGTCCAGAGGAAGAGGCAGGTGTGGGACAGCAGACATGGTATTCAAACACCTCTGGAAGGACAATGGATCTGACTGTTCCACTGCAAGTCAAAGCAAGGTGGGGGCACAGCAGGAGCAAAGGCTAAGAGGCTGGAATAAAAGGGGAACTGAGTAACCTTTGAGGCTGACGTTTAAAAAGACGCTAGAGTTCCTGGAATAGGGCCGTGCTGTGCCCTGTCCAGGGTGCTGAATCCTTTCTGCTGAGCGCGGAGTGCTGAGCTTGGGCAGGGCCAAGGATGGCAGCCAGGGGGTGTGTGAAGGGGACATGGCAGCAGGATCTAGATGTACTCCAGCTACCCCAGCCTTTCCTAAGACCTACTGGGCTACAAGAGAAACTCACTGTCCCCTGGGCCCATCTCCTTTCTCCTCCTCCTCCTCCAGGACACCCATGAAAGACACTTCCTGCTGAGCTTGCTTCTGATGGGTGACAGTCACTTCCTAGCAGCTCTAAGTGGCTGTGGGCTGGTCATAGGTGGGTGTGATACGTGGTGTCTGCATCTCCAGGGGGGAGGTCTCAAAAGACCACCATGCCTGCAAATCCCAAAGCAATATGGCAGGTAGAGGATACTGGGGAGAATGAGGATGATAAAACACTCCTCTTCTCCTGCTCAATCACATGCCACTCCCACACCACTCCCCCATATCCTTGTCCGGATGTCACCAATGACAAGGTGAGTGGGGGCTGGGCGGCCCAGGCATGGGGAAGATGGGTGGCCCAAGGGCAGAACAAGGGCACCAGCCTACTCTCCAGGTGAGGGGAGGGGCAGAGGTGCTGGCCGCAGGGGAGGAGGGGGGGCGAGGAGTCCACCAGCGCTCCCTCCCTAGGTAGGTCCCTGGGCCTCATTTCCTTCTCCTCTTGTCCAGGAGAATGAGCAGGGCCCTGGGACAAACCCTTCCAGCCCTGCTCCCGCAGCTGGGTCACTGGGGAAGCCCCATGGGCCTCCTCTGTAAATGGAAACGCCATCACTGACAGCCTCTCTTGGATACAAGCCCCTCTTCAGCCAGCCCCAGGTCTGGCTTGTCTTTGTATCCCCAGAACCCAGCCTGGCACCCAGTAGGCATTTCCTGTGTCCTGAAGCTGCCGATCAGGGGAATGGAAAGGGCCCACATGCTTGGGACCCAGCCCAGTGCAGGTGCTCCTGGAAGGGTAACCCCGTCCCCCACTTTCTTCCCACTCTGCCCAGCCCCCACTCACCTTGTCATTGATCAGCAGTTCCATGGGGTCGTGGCCCGCCTCCAGCAGCACAATCTCATTGGCCTGCCCGGGCACTGAGTAGGAGAAGGGCGTGCCCTGGCCACTGCCCCCCGACCTGGAGCGCAGCCACATGCAGACGGTGAAGGCGTAGAGCTCAGGCAGTGCCTTCCGCACACGGGCGTACATGTAGTTGTTGCGGATGGGGATGCTGATCTTGAAGGCATCTGGGGGGCTGTAGGCTGAGGACCCTGAGGGGAGTGGGCAAGGCGGACATGGTGGGGGTCAGTGGACACTGATGGGGGGGCGGGGCAGACTCTAGGATGAAGGCTCCTAGTCCCTGGGCATCTGCCATGTGCCAGGTGCCTTCATGGACCTCTCTACCCTGCCTCTGTGTTGATGGGTGTGGTTAAAGCACAAGGGCTCTGGACCTGAGACGTCCTGCGTTCAAATCCTGCCTCCACACTTTCCAGCCACGTGACATCCCACAAGTTCAACGTCACCTCTCCAGCCCGGGTTTGCTCAGTTAAATGACATAAATAAGATTTCCTCCCTCCCAGGCTTGTGTGAGGGCCGAGCGGGACAAACTACATAAAGGGCCTGGCCTATAATAAATGCTCAACAAACCTAAGCTGTGGCAATGATCATTTTTCTGAGTTCTTTGCCTATTTATTTAATAACCACTACAAAGAACCTTCTACCTGGCAGGCACTGTTCTAAAGGCTTTCACATCATTCTTGTGACAACCCCATGAGGTAGCCACTATTATAATCCTCATTTCACAGATGAGGAAGCCTTGGTGCAGAGATTAAGTCATATTCTCAAGGCCACACAGCTGGTCAGCGGCAGAGCTGCCATCCGAACAAGACCATCTTGGGACTCCTTGGTGTCCAGGGTGCCTTCCTGTGCAGAGTTTCAGGGATTCTATGTCTTGAGTATCAGAGGGCTTTCTGCAGGGGTAGACTAGAGAGTCACCTCTCCCAAGGCCAGGGGGTAACATCTACCACACCCACCTCTAGGGTAGGATGTCCCCTTCTCTAGTTGCTTGTTGAGGGCTGGGGTTAGGGGGTTGGGGCTGGGAATGGTGGACCTGGGTTCCCAGGTCTGGTTGGGGCTTGGGGCTTGGGGTGAAGGCTGATGTGCTGATGCAACATGGTAAGAGAGGAAGGGACTCAGTGCCCCTTGAAACCCCTTTCATAGATGAGGAAGTTGAGTCCCAAGAAGGGACACAACTTGCTCACAGGCACACAGACATCCAGCCTAGCTGTCTGCCTCCTCTCTGCTCTGCAGCTTCTGGAGGGCTATGTCCCCCAATCCCTTAGAATATGCAGTACAGGGGGCCAGTGGCAGGACCGAGGAGGGGTGAGTTTGCCTTTCTTATCTCTGTGCTCCAGCCAGGAGGCGAGCCCTGAAACCCACTGGGCCGTGCCTCGCCTCCTGCCTTGCCCCTGCTCTGGCCCCTCCACTCCAAAACTGACTGGCTCTCTCCCTCTGCCTTCAGCGACTAGGCTGAGGCTTGCCGCCTTCAGGAAGCCTCTTGGATTTCCTTCTCCTGAACTCACGTCCCACATCTAAGCCAGTCGCTGATTATTGCTCATGATTTCCCCTGGTATCCCTAACTTGTCTGTAAGCCTCTTAAGGGTGGTCCTCACAAGGTTTCAAAGACGAAAGGTCCCTGAGAGCTCAGGAGTCCTAGATCCCCTCATTTCAGATGAGAAAAATGAGGCCTGGGGAAAGGAAGCAAAATTCCAAAGTAAGCCAGTGACAGCTGTGCAGCCAGGAGCCAGGGCTCCTGATGCTCAGACCTGAGCACTGTCCATGACAGCACGTTTCTCTGACTCCTGGCACTGCAAGGCCCAGTTGCTAAGCAAGGAGCAAAATTCTGATTCACAGATTTTGTGGGGTGGTTAAATGCATGGACTTTGGAAAAGTCCAAACCTCAGACCTGGTTTGAGGTCCAGATCCACTACTCACTGGCTGTGTGACGCTGGGCCTCAGTCGCTTGACCTCTCTGAGCCTCAGTGTCCTCATCTGTGAAATGGGACTAACAGTGCCAGCCCCATGTGGTTTGTGAAGATTAAACCAGCTGACATATCAAGTCCTTAGCCCACTCCCAGAACGTAAGGCCCAGAAAATGTTAACTGTTAAGAAAAATAATGATATTCCCCAATTATTCTCTCCCTCTTGGGTTTCGCAGCCCCCTCTCCACTGTCCCATCTAGCTTTAGCCTCTGGAGAGCGCAAAAATGTTTTCGAGTGAATCTGCCTCCTTGAAGACCCATCTGGGAAAGTGCCCTCTGCTGGGCCCTGGACCCACCATGTTCCAGTCCAGCCACGCGGTCCTGCAGCGCATCCAGCTCCTTCTCCACTTCCTGCCGCTGCCGCTGGCTGTTGTGACTGAGAGCCACTCGCTCCTTCTCCAGGGCCAGTACCTTGGCCAGCAGCTGCCCCTCTAGTTCGTCCATCTTGGTGTTCAGGGCAGTGGGCACCGCGGGTGCAGGGGCTGGGGCCGCTGAGAAGTTCACACGGGCTGGGAGCTCCTGCTGCTTACAGGGCAGAAGAAAGGGCATGTGAGGTCACTTGGAGGGTGGAAGGAAAGAGACACAGGGCTCAGAGATGCCCACCACCCCGTCAGGTGACCTCAGGTGAGCCTCAGCTTCCCCAAAGGCAAATGCAGATGGCGATATCAAATTCAGGCAACACATGTTCAACGAAAGAGCAGGTTCTTTCCACTGCCGGTGTCTGATGGTAAGCTGAAAGCAGGCTGGGTCTACCCTCAAGAACATCTCAGCCTATGGTGGGGTGGAGGTGGGGGGCTGGCAGTGGGGAGCTCTAGAAGCTCCCCTGGGTGGTTCTCACATTGCAGTCAGGGTTGAGAGCCACGGCTGAGTCCTTCATAACTGAAAGCTGTATGCTGACAGGTTCTTGAAGGGGTGGATTGTCTTAGTCTTCACTCATTCGCTCGCCAGGCTTCTCAAAATGGTGCAAGGCTCTGTGTGGGCACTGAGCAGATGTAGAGGCACAAACCAGGGGCTTCTGGAATAGGGCTGCAATGGCGCCTTAGTCAGAAAACCCAGGGTTCAAATCCAGCTCCAGAATCAATCTGCTGTGTGACCCTGGGCAAATGCCTCCACTTCTCTGAACCCGTTTCCTCACATGCAACAGGGTACAACTGTACCTATTTAGAAGGGGGGTTGGGGGATGGCTAAGTAGTAAATGCCAATGAACAGAGCCTGGTTATTGCAATTACTGCCCAGGGCAGAGTGATCCAAGCTGGTCTCTGACACCCTCATCCTGCCCAGGATTTTTTAGAGCCTCCCTTTTGCTGCCTTATGACCCCAGCGGGCAGAAGAATTGGAGCAGGGTCCCGGGGAGGGGGGCTCTCCTCCCCCTCTCCTGCTGGAAGAAGCCCTTCTGGGGTGGAAGAAGGCAGGCGAGGCCACAAGTCCAGACTCTGGGAGGGGGTAGTCTCTGGCAGACATTAATAATTCATTGAACTTCTAGGAGCCAAATTAGACCTTCCCTATCTCCTTGGCTTCCTCCACACTCCCCAAGGGCCCAAGCAGCTCCTGCTCAGTCAGCCCTGGGCCTTGCCTGCAGCCTTAGCCCCAGGCCTGAGCTCACTGAATTCTTACGATACCTTCACTGAGCAAGGAATAATCAGGGAGCACCTACTATGGGTTGGGCCCTGCACCCAGTGCTGAAGATACTGCCGAGGGCAAAACAGAAAACCAAGAGCACGGCCTAACATTTCCTGAGTGCCCTGTGCCTCGCAGGATGGCCCCTCGGCTTGGAGCGAGTACAGGATACCCCTCCCGAGCCTCATTGGCCCTGCCCTGGCCCTGTGGTCATTTGTTGGGTGAGACTGGGCAGATTCCTTCGCCTCGAGGTGCGTGTCTTCTAGCTGTGTGATGAGCAGATAAATGGATGTCTTGCCTCAAAGTGCTGGAGGGTGGGGCGGGGAGGCCAGCGCCTGAGAGAAGCTGCCATGACCTCATGCTGGGGAGTTGGAGGGACTGACACCCCCCCTCGGGAGTGGGAGCAGGGGGGCTAACTTCTTTGGTGTCATTTTTCCTCATCTACAAAATGAGGGCTTGGAATGCCCAGCTTGCAGACCTGTGGTCAGGATTAAATGGTGGTGTGCAGGACAAGAGCCCGGACAAACGCTGGACCACAGTGGGCCACTTTTTTTTTTTTAACATTTATTTATTTATTTCGAGGAGGGGGGCATGAGCAGGAGGGGCAGAGGGAGAGGGAGAGAGAATCTCAAGCAGACTCCCCGCTGAGCACGGAGCCTGATGCAGGGCTCGATCTCATGACCCTGAGATCACGACCTGAGCTAAAGCCAAGAGTTGGACGTTTAATCAACTGAGGCACCCAGACGCCCCCACAGCGGGCCACCTTTATCCCCCACCACATCCCACCTAAGAGGGCACAGCCACCCATCCATGCAACCGCCTCCTTGGCCCCCCAGGCTGGGGCGCAGGCCAAGTGCGGTGGGTGGGGCATGGACTAATGAGCAGCTCTGGACCGCTGGCCCCACCCCTGTTACACTAACCTCCGATACCCTATCGGAGGGCTCCTTCTAACTCCCTGGGTGCCTACGAATCCTAACTCTGGCTAAACACAAAGCCTCAGTTTCCTCTTCTGTGAAACAGGGACAACAGGTCCTGCTCTGTCCATCCCCAGGACAGATGTAAGGATGGAAGAGTTGAAGTAACAGGCCCTCCTGGACAATAAAAGCAGAATGCAAACTGTGAGCCTTGAACCCATCAGCCAACGAAGAGCTGGCTACCTCCAGAATCTTCCCTTGGCCACGAAAGCCCATGGAGTACCCACTGCACTTAAAGTGGCTGAACGTTCAGTAAATCTTGGGCTGAGGCAATTAGCTCATAGAATGCATCCCGTCTCAGTGCCAGCAGGGCCACGGCTGGGTCTCCTGGGCTCCGGCACCCTTTATCCTCCGTTTCCCTCTTTGCACGGGGCCAAGCTTGACAGGAGGGCCACACGTCTGAATGAGACAGGGTGCCAGGCCCGTCCTTGGCCCTGCACGTGTATTTACTCACCAATCCTCACAGCCACTCATTTTGCTTGGTACTCTTAGTGCTCCCATTTCACAGATGGGGGAACTGAGGCAGAAGCCCTTTTGAATTTCCTACAGCAATGGGGCTGGGCAGAGCTGACACCTCTGGAGCTCTCGAGCAAAGCGTCCTCCTCCCTCAGAGGAGGAACAGGACATCTAGTGCTATTTACACAGACGCCGTGGCGAGGAGAAGCCATGCACGCTGAGCGAGGCGGGTGTGCAAGCTGTTCTTTTGTCGGAGCCACCAGCTCTGTTGCCGGCAGGAGGGCTAGGGAGGAGGTGGGCTCTGCAGATCGTGTGTGGCCCCCTCCCCACCCCAGTGTCTGAATCAGAAGAACATGACTCCCCCCCCACTTTTCCATCTGCTGCGGGCGCAGGCTGTGCCGCGTGGGCTCCTGGCTGATGCCAACTGGGCCCCTAGCCCAAGATGGGGGGAGGGGTGATGATGCCATCACCCCCACTCAGGTCCCGACGAGGCAGGGAGAGGGGGCTCCGAACCCACAGACTGTTGTGCTGGGAGTCTGGGTGGGGTTTGGCGTGAGTATACGGGCCCTGAGCCAGAGTCCGGGGTCCTAGCCCGGCTCAGCACGAACGTGCTGGGCTCATTAGCCCTCAGTAACAAGAATACGACAGCGGCTCCTGTCCTCATCGTCGCGTACCACATGCCAGGTCCTGCACCGGGGAAGTCTGTGCGCACATTTCACAACCCCTCTCGACGATCGGGGGAGGTGAGGAGGCCCACTTTACAGATGAGGGAACTGAGGCGGTGAGCTGAAGTTTCAGGAACCCCAGCCCAGGCCCTTCGGGTTCCAGAAGCTGTTCGCCTTCTTCCGTCCTTCCCTCACAGTGTGGGTCTCATTCTGCCAAGTGCGCAGAGTGCTGGCTGCCCTGCCTGCCTGGGGGGCCAGTGGAAGAGGTTCCGGTGGCCATGAAGAGGCTGGGAGGGTGCGGCGGGCTGTCACACTGCAGTGGGGGGAGGGGGCGGCCTCACTGAGGGACCCGGAGAGCAGGGACCTGCCTAGGGAGGGTGGCTCGGAGGCTGGGAGGATGTGGGGAGGACCCAACCACCTCGTCCCCAGGTGGAGTCTGCTCCTTTCCTTCGGGGAGCAGAGGGAGGGTGCCGGACCTCAGCACCCAGCTCACCCCCCGCCCCCGGGACAGCACAGGGCCCAACTCTGGGGGTGGTGAGCAGGGTGGAGGAAGAGAGGCTTCATGGCAGCACTGTGGGTGCGGTCTCCTCACCTCCCCATCTGACCACCCCCAAGTCCAGTGGGAATCTGCTGGGCTCACAGCTGGGTTCCACCCGCCTAGTGACCTCGTGTACAGCTGCGGTGCCTCAGTTTCCCCAGCGAAAAGGGTGCAGCAATATCTCATCACACTCTAGTGAGAAGTGAGTTATATACTGTCCTGAGGGCGGAGCAGGCCCGGGAGGCGCTTGGTGTCCGTTCTTATTGCCACTACTTAAATAGCTCTTGAAGGAACCCATCCTTCTTCAACTCCAACCATAAACCTTTTTGTTTAATCATTATATTGGGAGAAAAAGCAGATTACAGGAGAACAGTTGGATACCATTTGTATAAAGTTGCAAAGATTCAAAACTAGATCATGTATTTGTAAAAAGCAGGCAGAAACACACAGGGAGAGATGAATACAAATTCGGGGCAGTGGTGACCCTCTCTTGAGGGCTGGTGGAGCTGGGAGGCTCTGAAGGGCATGAGCTGATTGCAAACGTTCTGGGTCTTGAGTCTGGGTCCCCACCCGGATGGCATTCTTTATACCTTTGTGTATGTCTGAGATACTCCGCAATGACTTTCTTTAAAAAAACAGGGAGAAATCTAAAAGCAGAGTTTCTGGGGGTAGAATCTAAACCTGAATCTTTTTTTTATTTTTTAAAGATTTTATTTATTTATTTGACAGAGACAGAGACAGCGAGAGCAGGAACACAAGCAGGGGGAGTGGGAGAGGGA